GTGCCATATCTCTCCCCAGCAGTCTCTGGGTAATGAATGGCACTCATAAAAGCATTCACCTCTTAATTCAATACTACAGGAAGTCCTTGGTTCAATGGGCACCTCCACACTTCCTTTATTTACAATTTGGGCAAATGGGTCATTTTAGATGGTCTAAAAACCAGAAATACACGTTTGTGTTGCTTTTAAGCACAACTCTTATAATAATGCATTGAATCCTATATCAATAAAAATCTATGAAAGAGTCATTAATGATGGCAGCTAGCTCTCCTTTATGGTTTTATCACGACAACAATTTGGCTTCAAAATAGAGCAAAGAAAAAAAAAGGCTTAGGTCTGTCAAAACATTCTTTGACTGCTGAAGTCCTTCAGAAAAATCCAGATTTCATGTTTGCCAGCCTAATTAAAACTGTTAGTTGCACCTCAGAAAAGGCAGATGATTCTTAAGTAATCATACACTAAGTAAAGAAATAATGACTTCTGCTTAAAATTATTTTAGGAAACAATTTTTGCATCACAAAGAGATAGGAAACATTTTCATTCACCAACAAATGTAATGGGCTGTGCTTAGTTCCGAAAGGACTGTTTCTTCCATGAGCACTTTTTTCAGAATAGTTTTTATTATCTTCTTTCTATACATGCAGAGAGAATCCAACAATTTACACATTGCACAAGACCTGCTAACGTGAGGCAGGACTTCAGAAAGACATATTTAAATATTGAAATGAATACTATTTTATTTGACTTTAAGCCCCTGAAGAAGGGTTCATTACTGCAGCACTGCTGTTAAGTGGAATTATAAGAGGAAAGAACCAGCTACTTTATCTAGCCATAGGCAGGAAAATCATCACAATTAGCTACAGGAGGAATGGTGAAGTCACCCAGGGACTTCCTGAAGGCTACACTTTGGGAAGGACTCATTCATTTCCTCTGAACCATGTAGGAAAGTCTGGGTCCTAGACTAGGTAATTAGAAGCAAATCAAATAAGCCATAAGTACAGTCTGGCCAGAGTACAGTCACCAATCCCAAATAGTTTTTAATACTCTACTTCATTAGAATAAAGCAAATATGACACAACTCGAATCACTTCAACTGTTCACATGCATGGAAGATGCAAGCCAAATAAAGAAAATTGTTCAGACCCTCTGTGAGAATTTATGACAAAAGTCTTTACAGCCAGACCAGTTTTCTCTGTATTAACCTGTGGTTTGCTTGGAAATTATATGTTTAGGAAAAATCACAGAATCCCCTGAGCTGAAAGGAACCTAGAAGGATCATCAAGTCTAAGTCCTGGTTCTGCACAGGACAGCCTCAAAAATCACAGCATGTGCCTGAGAGCATTGTCCAAACACTTCTTGAACACACAGAGGTGTAACACTGTGACCACTGCCCTGGGAAGCTTGGTCAGTGACAGAGCACTCTCTGATACCCTAAACCTCCCCTGGCACAGCTTCACACTGCTCCCTTGGGTCCTGTGACCGGTCAAAGTGGTTAAGTTAGTTTAATCTGTTGCACTAAGGATGACTTCCTTTTCTGACAGGAGCTTTGGGTTCGTCTAGGACATGAGATCAAAGAGCTGACCTTCTCCTGTTTTCTCTCCCTGCTCCACTGATCACAACATGCAGGTCTTTATCAATGGACTGAAATACATTGTTCGTAGACAATTGCATCAATTAGTAAAAACAAAAATGCCCAAACTCGTGTTCTTCTAAAGTAAACAATGTAAACACTCTAAAATAAAAACCACATGGGATCTCGGCTTAAAAGCTGATAAAAATCAGTATGCAGGAAATATTCTGGGAGAAAAAAAAGAAGTAGGGAAGCAAGAACTTCCCTGCAACAAAGGAAACGTCAGTGTAGTACGAAAGACTCCAAACCTGCCGCAAACTAAGCAGAGACAGATCTCAGTTCCCTGTCCAAGGTGACGGCACCTGGGAGGCACAGGCAGGGATGCTGCCCTGGCCTCAGCTTCCCGGAGTGACAGCGGGCCGGGGGACTCTGCAGGACTCCTCGGGACACCGGTGTCCGCCGAGGAGACCGGGAGGCACTGCGGGGGCTCTGCCCGGGGTCCCCCCGGCTCCCCCGGCCGCTTCACTCGCCGCCGCCCCGGGGGAGCAGCCCCGGGAGCGCCCGGCACCCGGCCCAGCCGCCCTCCGGCCCCGGGCCGGCAGCCCCCGGGCCGGCCGGCAGCCCCCGGGCCGGCAGCCCCCGGGCCGGCAGCCCCCGGGCCGGCAGCCCCCGGGCCGGCCGGCAGCCCCCGGGCCGGCCGGCAGCCCCCGGGCCGGCTCCCTCCGGCGGCTCCCTTCGGCCAGCCCCTCCGCCGCGCCCCGCCCGCCCCGAGCCCCCGGCGCTGCCGGAGCCCTCTCCCGGCCACCGCCGCACGCCGCCGGCGGGTCCCGCCGCCGGCCGCCCTCACCCGCGGACTCGCCGGTGTTGATCCAGTCCGGGTTCGCCAGGCTGGCGATGGCGAAGATGTCGGCAGCCAGGAAGAGGCATCCTGAGATGATGGTCAGTTTGTCCATCTCCTCCGGCTCCGGCGGCACCCGGCTCCGGCCTCCGCCCGGCTCCCGCAGCGGGCCCGGGCCGGGGGCGCCTCACGGCCGCGGCTCCATGGGCCCCGCGCCGCGCTCGGCGGCGGCGGCAGGAACGGACCCGGACGGCGCCGGAAGCGAACCCGGCGGGCGGGGGCGCGGCGGCCGCTCCGGAAGGGGAACCCGCGGTCCCCGGCGCGCGCCCCGGGCGGGGCGGGGCTTCCCCGGGGCGGGGCCGGGCGGGGCGAGGCAGCTCCGCGGCCGCGGCGCTTCCCCGGGCAGCGCGGGGCGAGGGGCGGGGCTGCCGCCGATGGGCGGGGCCGGCGGGGAGAAGGGCGGGGCTTGGGCTGGTGGGCGGGGCTTGGGCTGGTGGGCGGGGCTGGCCGGAAGGCGCGGGGTGCCGCCGGTGGGTGTGGCCTGGGCAGGGGGCGGGGCGGGCGGTGCCCCGGGGCGGGCGGTGCCCCGGGGCGGGCGGTGCCCCGGGGCGGGCGGTGCCCCGGGGCGGGCGGTGCCCCGGGGCGGGCGGTGCCCCGGGGCGGCTCTGCCGTGAGGGCGCCGGTGGCCGCACCCTGCCGCGCCTGGTCCCCACCTGCCCCGGGCCCGGGGAGCCCCAGCACCTGCCCTGCCGCCTGGTCCTTGGCGGCTCTCAGGCATCGCCATCCCCAGAGGTGTTTTGGAACAGAGAATGGGCCTCTTGGTCAGTACCAAGGGCTGGGGAACGATCACAAGTCTGTGTTCACCACAAAAACTGCTGTTTCTCGAGTCCCTGCTCTTCATGCCTTTGCAGCGCTGGGCATGAGCTGAAATTCCAGAGCTGCTTCTGTAGCACAGGTGGGGACAGGGGACGTGTAAGGAATGAGGTTTGGCAGCTGTGGAGCCCCTCAGAAGCACTACACAGTGTTTGTCTTTGGAAGGAAATCTAATTAATCGTGACAGGAAATCTCACCCAAATACAGCCATTTTTGATTGCATGCTTTTCCATGGATTCAGCTATACAAAACCCTGAAAATCTGTAGCCAGAAAATGAACAATGCACCAAATGTGGGAAACCAGCCCAGTTTTGGCCACAATAGCTCTATGCCTTTGATACAGTCATTCTGGTATGGGAATGTTGAAGTAAATGAAACAAACAGTCCCCACATCTACAGGTACTTGGAAAATACCTAATAGTTCCCATTATTTTCCTTCCAACAGTGAACACCCACCTGTTTTCCAGAGCAGCACAACTGGTCTATATGGAACATACCAGGAAGCCAAGGGGCCAAGTGCCTGTGCTGTTTATTTTTATGTATTTTACGTAGATGGTAGACTGTACAAACAAAATGGAGATATCAGTAATCATAAAGTGTTCAACAGCAATCAGTAGGATTTGTTCTTTGGGGGACAAGCCCTGTACTTAACTCCCATAGAAATCACCTATACTTGACAAATTTTCTTAAGGGTGGAGAAACTTGCAAGGCTTTTGATGAAAAATAGCTGAAATTATTCCCTCTAAACCAGAAAAAATTGATGCATGGAAGAAATAGTGATTTGGAAAATCCATTTGCTATAGGCATGCTGTATTTTCTTCAAATCCTTAGTAGCTGGGAACTCCTCTGTTCTGTTACTCTGTGCCCTGTTCTCTACCTTCCCTGAATATATTGCTGTTAGTAATGAATGCTTAAGTAACAGCACTGTTGGTCCTCCTCTTGGCAAAATGTGTGACTTTTTAAGAAATAAGTTTCTAAGTAAAAACTACTTTCAGTATATTTATTTGCAGAAAGAAAGTTTATGTAGTCTTTCGGCAGCAACTCAGCACACGATGCCAGTCTAAGGAAGTAACTAAGGATGAGAGGCTTAACTGTTTGGATACTTAAGAATGGGGACAGCACCTTCTCAAATGTCTCCTTAAACCTTTTATTGAAGAATGATATCACACTTCAGTGAGTTTTCCTCTCACTTTTCAAAGGGCTGTTGACAGCCCTAGAAAACTCTGGGCACACCCAGGTTTCAGCATTGATGGCAACGATTGGGATGGATGAACAAGGATTAGCCCTCACAATAGTACAGGATGGGCCATATCTTCAGATAACAAGCCTTGATGAAAAAAGCTCTACAGTAATGATGGAAAGCTGAAACCAGGTAAAAAGAACCAATAGTGATATTAAAATTTAATTGCATTGAAGATATCCTTGTTCTGCATTTATGCTTTGAGCCCGTCTCTGATTTAGTTACACTTACAGAGATCAAAAGAAACTCAGTTCAAAATTACAGAGAAAAGAAACTAGCACAAACTGTATAAAGCTCAGTGCCAGCATTCCAGTGTGATGAAATACCTGTGATCTTAAAATAGCTGCTCTGGTGACTGTTCCATAATCAGTTCAAGATTTAAGCCTATACATTGTTCTCCAGCAAAAACAGATTTCCTATTCACCAGCAGATTTTTTCCAAAAAATATTTTGGCTATTACCTTTATGTAGCAACTAGACTTGAATAATATAATTCTTTATTCAGTGCATTATTGCTCAAATAATTTCATTCTACAAGTAATACAAATCTTCACAAGGCTTGAAATTAATTTGCCTTATTGTTTGCTTTTTATTTCTCTTTATTACAAAGAGTAGTTACAAAGTGGCAATAGACTAATCTCTGTGCTTTAACAATCCACACAGGTGTTCATTTGCTAAATGTTTTAAACCTGAAATGAACCGTATCAGAACTAGCGGACTATTACCAGTTATTAAAGGTTTCTTGTGGAACATCTGACACCTGTATTAAACTCGAAATTGAAAGCTCTGTAAATGTGAGTGCTTCACATGGGTCCCCAGCCCAATTACATTAAACTCATAACTACAGTTCGAGGACGAGAGTGCGCTATGGTAATTCCCAGCATGAAATTGTCTCTTAACATTGAAATCTATGAAGCGAAGACTGGAGCGTAATGAAGTAATTTAGAAATTTACTGGCTGTACAGTGAAAATGCATATCTTTAGATTAGAATAATTTTCCTAGCAATGCCTTTATAGTTTGGGCAGTCCTTTCTTCTAAATTGCAAGTACCAGGAAGAAATATCTAGTTACTTGATGAAATAAGAATGATCAAGTGAAGTTCTTAGCCTTTTCTTGAGAAAAAGGCTTTTCACTTTAGATCTGAGTATAAAAATCAGTGGAAAAATCTGGAGCATAAATTTGAAATAAATATTTTTTTATTATTTTCTTAGGATGAGATAGCATTCATCCATTACCTGAAAAAAACCCTTAGATATACAGAAGTATATATATATGATACTAATTTGGTTGTTGATTTGTTTTGATGGTATTTTTTGGTTTTTTTCTCCACCTATAATTAGAATACTAATAATTGTTGCAAAGAAAACTACTTCTTTTCAATGATGCATATTCTTAATATTCAATTTGAAGAAGGCAAGCATCAAAAGCATTTTCAATAAAGGCTACAAGGAATCACATTATTTACAGCATGTGATGTGTTTGATTTACTGCAGCAAGTACAGAAAGGTGTAAAGTGGGTTGAGGACTTGTAACAAACATTGCTTCTTTGTAGCTGATCTTAGTTTTTGGAACCAAAAGAAACAAGTTGAGCACGATTCCTGGAGCACCTGGATCTAACTCAGCACATGCCACATGCAAAAAAAACCCACACCAGACAGCTGAGTCTGTTCAATTCATATTTAGGATGAACTTACTTGTTTAGGACCAAACCTGTAAAATTTTGCATAAAATGTAGTATTTTATAGAAGTTTATCCACTACGTTTTCTACCTCCACTGTACAGAGCCAGATTTATCATCTTTTTATATACCATTTTCAGGGAAAAAAACTCCCACATAAAATGTATGAACTCAGCACTTTATTTGATGAGTGCAAGCCCACAATTACTCCAGATTAACTTTCTGAAAGAACTGAATTCATAAATAACAAATTAGTAGTAATTCGAACATAGGTGACTTAGACCTCAGGTCCATCTTGAATCAAGCCCATCCCAGATTTGTTTTTATAACTCATCAAGAAAAGGAGTATTTCCCAAATCCCCAGAAGCTGCCATTGATTTCTTCCCATTGAGGAACTTCTTTGCAGCCTGAAAATAAATCAGGAAAGTGGATATGAGGAAATATTCACTAAAACGGAGTTGATGCTACTCATAGCACTAGCTTCAAATTACTAAAACAAAGAACAAATCCTGGCACTACTATAATACACCATCATGTAAACAATCCTCCTTTTGCTTTTTAAATCTAATTGCTTCTAATGCAGAGGCTCATTTTATAATCCAAACAGGAATATAGACAGTTGGATATAAAAGGCATGAACTCTAGAAATGGTTATTCCTAAAATAATTATTACACCATAAAATACAGTGTATCTCATTACTACTAAAGCTATTGCAAATTGCTGCAATACAAATAAGCAATGACTGTGAAAAAACAAATTTTATATCTCAGAATTTCTCTTTATGATAGATTTTTAGAAATTAGCTTCACATATAAGCAAAAAGATAATGTGCAGTAGCAACAAAGTTACATCAATATATCACTGAAAGTTAATTGTTTTATTAAACACACCCATTATTCTAGACTCAGGAATCCTAAAAACCTTGACACAGAATGACCTGTACTGAAAATAATATGATGTTTTCCATGAATAGTAGTTACCAGTTTTGGTAAATTTAAGTGAAGAAGATGAGAATTTTATATAATTCCCAGCTACACTAGTTTTACAGTGTATTGAAAGAGTCTTCTGTTAATAAAGTAAGTGAGGACATCAAAAGATACCCAGCTGAGATTCATAAATGAGTTGTCTTTTCTATTTTTAAAGACAATATATGCGTGTGTTTATAAACACACAGAATGAGCATCAGTTTTCTATAAAAAACCTGACACAGTGATTAAGGAACACCTGTGGGTGCTGACACATACTTACATTCACAACATCAGCAGTGGCTACAGAGTCAATTTTCTGAGCAGCAGCAGATGGGGATGTGAGTGTGCCAGAAACCAGGGACTCCGTGCCAATTTCATTCAGTAACCCTTTTGAGGTCTCCACTGACATCAAATAGTTGGCTTTCAGCTGATTTCTGCCATCAAACAAACCATCAAGAATGAGCAAACTTGCAAGTTCTGCTATTACCTTCCCTACCACCCCAAAAATACAATGAGGTTTTGGTCCTTTTAAACTTCTCAAGATTCCATTTTGAAAGGTTTCCCTTTTCTAATAGGTAAGGATTCCATGGTTAGGAAAGAGGCACCATGAACAGTCAAGCATGAAAATGACAGGTACTTGAACACCTACTGTCTCCCCACACAGTCAGATCTCTAGCTCAGGATTTGTTTCTGTCTGAGGTAACTAATGCAGTTAGACAAACTATCAAGTTTAAATCTAATTTTCTCATCAAGAACAGATGCATGCAGAGCAATTTTGTCCTAAGTGACAAAGAAGCAGAGAATGTAAATGCTCAGGCTACTCCTGCTAATAGTTCCATGTTCTGTTAAAAGAGTTTGCTTTTTGTGTTTCATGCAGAATCACTGCTACATATGAAAACCTTATTTTCATAAGCCAGTCCTTCTATTCTAAAGACAAAAAAATAGAAAATTATTTATTCCAATAGCTAATTATTAAGTAGGTTGGTATTTGGTTGAATTGCCAGACTCTGCAAATAGAACTGACTGAGTCTGGGCTTATTGTTCTTTCTGATTTTTTTTTTTTAATAAATGAAAAAGAGGAATATAGGAAATGTATGAAGCCACTCTAGAAAGGAAACTCCAGAAAAAAAGAAAAAGAAACTTAGCCACAACAGCATGGCAGGTAACTCCCTAATGCCAGGCAGCTTTGTTTAAAAAAAAGAACAAAACAAAAACCCACAAAACCTACAACACACAAAACAAAAGATGCCCAGTATAAAAGTTCAGAATCCACAATTTAGCTACTAATGACTAAGGAAGAACCAATCATGTCTAGACTAACCTATTTTGTGTAACTATGCTTTACACAGAGTCTTGTATTTTATACATGCAACAGACAATATTTGCATTTTGCTACTTGACTCTATTATATTGTTGTTTAGCACAAGTGCAGCTTTAAATTTAAACTGCTCAATGCAGTTTAACACTGCTTGGAGACTCCCCTCCCCTAAATATTCCTAGGGGCATCTATTTCCAGCACTTGGTGTACCATCACTAATTCAGTGCTTTATACTTGCAGACCCTCATTACTCTTTTTCTTTGAAGATGGCACAGATTGCTTATTATAATTGTTTTGGGAATTGCTCAAGTAACTGTAAAGGGAATTACCTAAATAATGCAATTTAGGATTCTAATTAAAATACATATTAATACTACAGAGTATGATTAAAATGACAGCATCTGCTGACACTTGCTAATTTCTTACATTAAAACAGTCTTCGAAAAATATTAACACTTCTCACTTCCATGTTTTTATTAGGAAGTAACACTACTGGAGAATCAGTACAGCTTTCAAACAGAATATTGACAGGGGCTCAGTTTTAATGCAGGACTGAGAGTAGCTCCCCACAGAAATAATTACAGGATAAGCTCTGCTGTACAGAATAGTCTGTGTGTTTCACAAGTAGCTGCATGTTAAGAAAATTCTCTTTACACATATATGAATTCTTTACACACTTACTTTGCCACTGTGACATCAGCATCGGTGACACCACCCTGAGCAACTGCCTTTACCTGGTTCAAAGCAGCTTTAATGACCTGAGGAAAATGAAATCATTTAAGGTTTCTTCCCACATCAAATTTCAACATGGTACTTCTATTATCTAATATCTTGGAAACTTCAAGGGAATAGCAGCTGACAATGTGAGGACTGTCTGCTTGAACACAATTCTGAGACGTTTTATAACAAAACTAAAAACACTGTAATGAATGCCCAAAAATGCACAAAAACCAGTATGGATCTTAACTGCACCACAGCACTAATTTATATGGTCTCACCATTCATCATGAAAGTGCTCAGTTCTGCCAGCTTAAAGAGATAGCATGTTTTTCATTATATATCTTAAGCTTACAAATGCATATCAGCTATTACAGTCAGCAATTCAAGGCATAACTTCAGTTCATATTATGAATCTGTCCTTCCCACAAGGCAAGTCTCATTCCCAGCTTACAGAGCTAAGTCATAACTGAATATGCAGCACTCTTATACAGGAAGTCACATGAATTTTTTTTTTAGATGAATCAGTCACTCTCTCAAATCAAAACACTACTTTGAAGGTTATGTTATTAATGCTTAAATTATAAGCAGCAACTCACCTCCCCAGCATTTGGAGCCTGGGATATGGTATAAATCCCAAAGAGCCCGGAATCAGAGTAATTAACATTAAATGCAGAAACCTGCAAAATAAACATTATCATTAACTGTTTTAAGTATGAGAGTAATTCAGCATCAAACATTTGAAAAGAATTACTATTAGGATGTAAAATACTGTAATTCAAGAAGCTGAACTCCATCTGTGCTGAGGAAAGATCAGAGTGGAAGCCCGTGTAATGTGTAAAAGAATGAACCAATTAAGATTCTAGCTGAAGGCAGTAACCTCTCAAAGACAATACACATTTTACTTAAAAATCAGAATACAGTAATCCTTTGAACTTACATCAAATGGCTGGCTGGCTACTTTAGCAACACCCTGGATCAATTTGCTGGTAACGTTGCTTCCCCTCTTGACAAGGGGCCCAGCACCTAAAACATACTGAAGGACACTGAAGGCATTGGCTTCTGGACTCCCAACAACAGCTCCTTCTGCTACAATAGCAGCATGGACAAGGCTATCACCAGTCTGTTTCCTGATTTCTCCTAGAAATACAACAGGAAAAAGGTAACACAGTGTTGGATTAGAAACTACAGTATATTCACAGGCATAGAAAAGAAACATTTTCCTTTACCGAGAGAAGAGCAAGGCCTGAAGTTACTGCATGTCCCCTCAGGAAGGGAGCATGATGCCTTATTTGAAGCTGACCCTGAACCGTAGACAGTGTGGGATGATAAAACTCAAGAGTCTCCATATAACAAATACCCAGAAAATAGTGTACCTTCTGTTCATAATAGTATTTATGCTGGCTTATAGAACCTGAAGTTATTCCAGTAAATATTGAATGCTGGAAACTTTCTTTTCCCCTTCATGTCTTTACAGAGACATCTAATACTCCAACTAAACAATACCTGTTGGCAATGGTACAAGTCACTGCTCTGACAGAGCTAAGCATTACTTACAACAGTTAACATATCTTCCCTAAATAGAAATCCTACCTCCACTTTCTGACAGCTCTTAACCTATTCTTACAGGCATCTTACCAAAACTGCCAAGAGAAACCATTTGGCAGCTTATTTTCACTTTATAGAAAAAATGATGTCTCAAGTAAAACTTTGTTGAAGAGCTGGGTTCAGTTTTATCCCCGCATCTTCCATGGTGGAATCTTCTGCTTATTTAAATGGGATATGCATCCGAACTATCACTTCCAATTTCTAGCATTTAGTGCAACTGTGTAGTTTTCAGTTGTAACTTTGAATACTACTACTAATTTATAAACAGAAAATCAGTCACTCAGAATAGGTTCAAGAAAAATCCTTACCCCCTCTATAAACAGCCTTTGCACCAGGAGCACCAGATCCACTTCGGATATTTAGGAATTGTTCTGCAACGTGCTTTAAGGTAGAGTGCTTTATACCTGCAATACAACAGTTACTCCAAGTAATGCAACGACACTGAAAAACTACAGCAGTTGAATAAAAGTGAAGCCTATGGTAGTGGTTCACTTCTGCAGAGAACTCAAATTTCTCCAGCAGTTTTCCCAAATGACCTGCAGTGTTTATTCAGGAACATACATACCTATTCCTACGAGAGCCATTCTTGAACTTGTGAAATTGCTCTGTACAAAATGGTGAAGCTGCAACAGTAAATTAGCATTTTAGGGTATTTTGTTTAAAGAACAAAAATCATGTGTGTTTCTGACACAGCCCCTTATACTTCTTAAAGCAAATTCCATAGCTTCCAAAAAGAACTGTCTATAGAATGTAATTTTACTGCATTTCCCAGTGACAACTACAAAACCCTTTTATACAAGAACACCTGCATTTCACCGACGGCCTTACTGTCAACAGAAAGCCACTGACTGTAACAATCTTTTTAAATGTAAGTATCAGTTCTGTACCCAGTATTCAAAGTTGCATGAAAATAAATTATTTTAACACCAGATCAATAAGGTAGTAAACAGTGACTGTATATATACTAAATTAATCTTCTCTCACCACCTATTCCTGACAAAAAACTGAAACATATAGCACAATACAAAGAACCCCACCTGCTCCGGTGTAATTTTTCCAACTCTGTAGTCTGGACAATACAAAGGGTTTGCCAGAGCATTTTTATAAGCTGCAGCATGCAAGTTTTCCAGCACTCCTGAGAGGGACAAAGTTTCAGATAATTAATACAAGATCCACATGTAATGAAGGTTATGAAAGAAACTAAATGAAAGAGCTGTGGCCCACTTTAGGGACCACACAATTTGTGAAAGCAAATGTGGAATAATCCAGTTCATAGGGAAGTTTCCAAATCCTTGGGCTGGAGCAATCTCGCCTGAGGCCTTCAATTCTTTAACTTATTTTAATAAGTAACGAAAACAACTTTTATATATATAATAACTTATATATGCTCAATATTTCTTGCCTCAACAGCAAGCTATAAATGCAATCAAGTGTTCAGAAGAAGGGGAGCAGCATCCTATTAATTATCATCTTCACTGCAGGCATCCCTTGCTTTTGAGAAAGATGAGACAACCTCACAAAGCTACAAACAGTATTCTAGAGAGCCTGTTCTATCTCCCTGCTCAGATGAAGGATGCCAGTGTATTCAATTAAATTCTCTTCTCATTATTTTTTTTAGCATTGCTATAGTATTCTTGTAATTCCTGTTTTGATATTCTCCTTTTATTTGCTCACACTTTTTCCTCAAGAGAAAAATTCGGTTTTTTATATTGTTTCCTGAACAAAACTACAACTGAAAATATTGTATTACTACGAAAACCAACCTGTAGTTGATATAAGTTTAAAAAAAAAATTATGATTAATTTTTAAAAATAGTAGCACCAACATTACATTCTCACCTTCAATGGGTTACAGAGGTAAACATGCTTCAGAGTGCCACAAATTTATGTTTATTGAGTAGAATTACCAGGGTGATCTTGGATGACAAGACTTAATAACACAAGATATACTGAAATAGGCTTGATCTGACTGAGGCTTTGTATTATGTTTCCTCTTTGTCTTCCCTTAAGCACAGAAATCTAAATTTACAATTCTAAAGCTGGAACCCATTTTCAGTGTGATGAAAATACACACTGTTTTTATACCAAAATAACCATACAAATTCAAGGAGTCTTTTGCAGGATACTATTTTCACACCAATGAGTAATACCTAAATATGGTTTTCACAACACAAGCTTCTGTAAATACATTGTCAACAACACTTATGACTTGCACATTCTTTGGTTGTACTCAAAAAAGTATTGAAAATGTAAAATGGAAGGTGTCAAGGAGAATGGTGTAAGATGTCTTCAGCATGTTACTTGCTAAATGTTACCACAGGTGGGAAAAACCTGTATATTAAGAGACGTTCCATATCAATAAGCTAAAAATTTCAATGTTCATGTGACAGAGCAAAATGGAAACTATTTCTTCATTTTGAAGGAACTCCAGCAGAGCCAATACAATGGATGAAAAACTACACTTACCAACTTGAGGATTCTGACGTGCAATTGTTTTATCAACTTTTAATTGTGGCTGAAGAGCAGATACTTCCCATGGTCTAAATTCTGGTGCTGTGGTAACATTCAGGAGATACTCCATTACTGTATCACTAGATAAAAAAGTTACAAAGACATTTAACACAAGTAACATGTGCTTCTTCTGCAAGTCAAATTAATCTGTAAACAACATGCCAACAACAAAACACATCACTCAAGCCAGAGCAATTATCAGCACTGCTGTACACGGTAGGATAATTCAATTCTGTAGCATTTGTATGCTCAGTAACATGACACAGAAATTGAATATTAATATAGTAATTTACTGATATATTACAAAAGCATGAGAAGAGATATTCCTCCCACCCTGTAAAATGACAGGTCTTCACTACCAAACAGTGTTAAAGAAGGCAGTAATTCCCTTTTTAGCCCATCCAGATACCTACACATAGTCTCGCAGACACTCAACAGAGTAAGCCATTTGCTCTCTTGTTGCGTACACACTACAGGAGAAAAAAAACAAAACCCATTTCAACAAAGAACACAGAAATGAATTCTCACACATACTCCCTGTTGATCAAATTAATCAAGATAGAGACTAGAATAACTACTTAACCTAAAATCTGTCTGGGATGACTGTTTAAACACATACAGAGCAGAAACAGTCTTAATTAAAACTCACATCTTCAGTATCCAAGTAATAATATTCAAGTAATAACAAGTGTCCCATGACCATGAGACTTTAAGATACCACAATAATTCAAGGTAAAACAGCAAATAAGGTTGAATAGCAAAACATGAAAAAACAAAGTATGTATGTATTAAACAAGGCAATTTAGAAAGTACTCTCTTTGGGCAGAAAACAGTTCATCCTGTCCTTTTCCTTCAACATATTTGTTACTGACACAACCAGAAAAAGGGTAGAGTCATAAAACATTATTTTAAACTATATTCTAGACAAAAAGATCTTACTGGATGATTTCAAGATACACTGAAAGAAAGCAGGTACAGTGACATCTCTCTTTTATTCCTCTAAGTCTTGTTGTCTAGGCTTAAAAACCTCAAGGCACAAAAGCTAACTACTTTCTGTACTGTTCCCAAGGCTGCAATCTATTCACAAAAGATGGAAGAAAAAATATCTGACTTTAGGAAGTTTATTCTAAAAGTCTGCAAGGACAGAAAGAAAATTATGCTTCTAGACAAATTTTATTTCTTCCATGTGCACAATATTTATATTTTGTTTACTGAAAGTTGTTTCTAAAATACAAACCATGAGCTCACACTTGAAGCTTAACAGAACAAAAAGTACAAGATCTTCCTTGACAACATTCACTATTCAAGTACCATGCTGAGCTTATCCACCTACACATTTTGTGCTTATTGTCTTATGTTCCCTTCAGTCCTAGAGCTCCTTTGCATCTCAGCAACACAGATTATTTTTCTATGTGGGTACAAACCTCAGGCTGCCCCCAACAGCTTCAATGCCACGAGTGATCCGGAAGGAGGAAGCTCCTTTAGTAGTCTATTAAACAAACAAACAAATAAGGCAATAATTCTAGCTATTTAAAAAACAGATACTGAGTTGATGGCAGCAGTAAGAGAAGCTACTTAGAAAAACTCCATACATACACAAGACTGAGTTTGTATCAACCACCTGAAGTAATTTTTACTGCAGCTTAACTAGAATTAGTTATGTGTATATTTGAATATAGATATACTAACTATATCTAGTTTATGACCCTAGAGAAAACACTCATTTATATACAATTATACATCAGTATTACTTCCCATCTTCCAGGACACAGTATCACTTCTCCTGCACTGAACCACACAACCAAGTACCACTGTACATTGTTCTCCACTTCCTAAGGTCTCTTAAATCAAATTTTACCATGCCATTTATTTTTGAAATAATAAACTTTTGCCCATTTCACCTACTGTCAACATAATAACAAAGACAATAAACACCTACCAAATTAGATGCAAGACGAAGCAGGTGAGCAGTTCCCAGGTTACTGGTGGTTTCATATCTGCTGCCTGTTTTAATAAACACACCAATTCTTGAAGCTGGAGAAAAGTTTTCCAGAGATGCAATAACTAAGCCATTTGGTAATTTTGTGATCTGCATTAAAAAGAAAAAAAACTTTGCTTTCGTTCAGTGGAAGTACTACCACAGCTCTGCTTTGACTGAGTTTTAAAAAACAAATTAAAATAGGGGGTGGGGGGAAACAACCTGCATTTTTATACTGACCTCAAGATCCTCAGACCGGGGAGATAATTTCACTTTTGCTGCAGTTGCTGAGGATGAAACTTTAGGAGCTACTTTAAGTGAGTAAAATCTCTTCTAGAGGAGAAAGCATAAGAGAATGGATTTCCTTAATTAGTTCATCACATTTCCTTAAATACTGAAAAAGAATCTGACTTTAAAGTAGAAATACAATGAAAAACTTCGAACACTGGAGTAAAAACAGTGATTGCCTTGCAATTCTCTGATTATTTTTTACATCAGTCAGAACCTGTGCTATGGCTTACGTAAGTTCTCTGGAATTTCAAGAAACAGCACTGTAAGGAACCTTTCCTCCTCTCCTCCCTTCACAGCTGTGCAGTGGGTATCCCTCTCCATCCCATAAAGTCTTTAGGACACCTGCAGAGCAATTCACTGAACCAAGAGCCATAACAATCCACACATGCAGCACAACCCCTTGGAGGTAACTTTAAATTCCTCAGGAGTAGGCAGTTCAGTTCCTGAAGAGTCACCTCAGAGTTCCAGCCTGTCTGTACTGACTGCTGCATGCAAGGAGGACAGACATACAGGCAAGTCCCCAGACTGCAGTTTGGACCTGTGAAAATAGGTCCAGAGGAGGCCATGAAGATGATCAAAGGAGCACCTCTGCTACACAGACAGGCTGAGAGAGCTGGGGAATGCAGCCTGGAGAAAAGACTCCAGAAAGACCTCACTCCAGCCTTGCAATACCTTAAAGGGGCTCTTAAAAGAGATAAAGAGGGACTTTTTACACAGGCAGATAGTGACAGGACAAGAGAAAATAATTTCAAACTGTCAGAGAGTTGCATTAGATTTTAGGAAAAAATTCTTCCCTGTGAGGTGGTGAGGCACTGGAACATGTTGTGCATAGAATTTCTGGATGCCTCATCCCTTGAAGTCTTCAAAACCAGATTGGATAGAGCCTGGAACAACCTGGTCTAGTGTAAGATGTCCCTACCCATGGCAGGGGGCTGGAATGACATGATCTCTAATGTCCTTTCCAACTCAAACCATTCCATGATTCTGGGTTTTTCATTACCAGAAGCAGTCCTTCACATGAGAGGTGAATATCACAAGAGCCCTGCATTCAGCAGCTGGCAACAGAAATGACAAGACTACTGATTTCAAATCTGAAAAGCTATTACTTTCCACCCACTCTAGAACTTGCATATACTAGTAAACTTACGGATTATTTTTGTTTTCACATTAAAAAAAATAACTTAATTCCCATGCATCTCAAGGTGAAAACCGAGTGACAGAAACACCACTGCACTTGGCTGTATGGATGCCAGTGATGTAATTCCCACTGCTTTACCAGGGGACTGTTCATTGTTTGAACCTAGGTAAAACTCACCAAGGGTTTGGTACGACACCTAGTTTTAAACTCGAAGTCTACTTATTTATGCACTACTACTGCATATCTAAAACTGACTCACACGCTGTCAGAGGTCATCCTCCGTCCCACTGGAGCGCATTTCCAGCGAACACCCAGCACAGCTGTCCGCCAGCTCCCCGAGAGCCTTTGGGCAGGACAAGCCCTCTGTCCCTCCCCGCCTGCAGGACACGGCGGGCGCCAATGCCAAGGGCACCGCCTTGTCTCAAGCAGCTGAAGCTTCCCCAGCGCGGCGGGATGCCCTCGGCCCCCTCCTCTCCCGCCGGGCCCGGCCCGCGGCCTGTCTGACCTTCAGCTGCCTCCCCGCCGCGCCGCCCGCCGGCCCGGCGCGGCCGCGGCCCCGGCGCGCACACCGACCCCGCGGGCCGCCCGCCGCCCCCTGCCCGCCTCAGCGCCCCGGCTGCCGGGGGTCGGGCGCGCCCGCAGTCCCCGCGCCCAGACAGCGGCTGTCACGGCCAGCAGCGCCTCTCCCGCACCGCGCACGACGCGCTCGGGTCCCGCTCACCGAGAGGGAGCGCGCGGCCATCGGGAACCCCTTCATCGTCCCGCGCCCCCCGGCTCGGCCCCGGCCAGGACAAGATGGCTGTCCCGGAGGAACACCCCGCCTTCCCGGCACGCCCCGCGCCGCGCCGCCCTTCCAGGGAGCGCCCCCCGAACTCGACTGCTCCGGCGGGCGGCCACAGCGCCGCCGCGCGGGCACCGGGGGCTGCGCGGGGTGTCGCCCCCTGCCGGGCACTGCGGGCCGCGACACCCTGCGGCGCGCGGGTCCCGGTGCCGGCGGTCCCTCGAGAACGTGCCCCGGGAATGCGCCCCGGGAATGCGCCCCGGGAATGTGCCCCGGGAATGTACCCCGGGAACGCACCCCGGGAATGCGCCCCGGGAACGCGCCCCGGGAATGCGCCCCGGGAACGCACCCCGGGACCATGCCTCGGGGCGCGGGGTCCCGCTGCCGGCTGTCCTTCGGGCTGTCCCTCAGGACGCGGGGTGCCAGGGTGGCTGTGCCCAACCTATGTCGGGGCCGTTCCGTGGAGTTCGCAGCCGCCTCCCCGCAAGCGCTGCCCGGGTGAGGCGGGACAGCGGCGGTGCTGCGGGTCCGGCAATGCCCGCGGCGCCGGAGCTCCCTCCAGCAGGATTTCAGCGCGGACATCGCCGTGAGGGGCGTGGGGCGCGGAGGCGGAGCCGGCACCGGCGGGGCGGTTCCGCGGCGGGGCCGGCGGCGGCGGGGCCGCCCCGGCGAGTTCTTAGCGGCGGCGCGCCGTGCCGCGCTCTCGCAGTCCTGTCATCCCGTGCCATCCTTTTCTACCCTGTCCCGTCCCGCCCGGCTCTCGCCATGGGCTCGGCTCCTCCCGTGTTCATCGGCGCCGAGGAGGTGGAGAAGCACCTGCACCGCGCCAGCCTGCTGCTGCCGGCGCTGGAGGCCGCCCTGGCCAACTTCTCAGCGGGCGCGGCGGGCGGGGTGGTGCAGCCCGTGCGCACCGTGCTGCCCGTGCCCCGCCACGGCGGGTGAGGCACGGCGAGCGGGGGCGGGCCGGCGGGGGGAAGGGTCCGGGTGGGCGGATTTGGAGCATCAGAAAGGCCCTCGGTACCGAGTTGCTGGTCAACCGGCCGGTGGCGGCGTGACGGTCGCAGCCCGCTGGCTGTGAGCTGCCGTGATAACGGTGCGTGAGTAACGCAGGAAATTCTCCCCCGAGGTACCTCGGAGTCATGCCCGCGTACAGTGCTGCAGACGATGCGCTGACAACCAAGTTGGTGACTTTTTATGAGCACCTGAAGGACTCCTCTGTGCCTTCTCACCAGGCGACTGTCCTCCTTTTTGACCCCAGCAATGGCACTTTGAAAGCTGTAAGTCCCCTGTGTCCTGCATTCTTCTCTGCTCATGCTGTCGGTTCTCACTTCTGCTTCTTGGAAGCTGGAGCTGGTGTAAATTATCCTGAGTTTACCAACAGGATTTGGCCTAAAGCTGCCTATCTTTCGTTTCTGTTAAACTGTACTCACTGTGCTATTTACTACTGCTTGTGATTTGAATCTGATAGCTCAGAGTGTAACTGGAAGAGAGCAATTATTAGGATAAGTTTATCTTGCATTTGAAAGAAAAAATACCCCCCCCCACATTGCTGGGTAAAGAATGGATCTTGAACCATCTTAAGTCTCAAGTTGGAAGAAAGTTACAGTTTGGATTGCTGGGAATAGTATTCAGAGTCTGATTACTTTATTTAAAGAATTTAAGTTGAGTTTTTTTTAAGAATAGCGATGATTTGCATTGTACTTTAGTAATAATGATTTATTAAAGCAGCAAAACTGGTCAAGAAAAATATCTTGTGTTCTTTTACCAAACCTCCTGAGTTTTTGCCCCCGTAATTAATGTGTGTGCAATAAGTAATGCACATTGAAGCAGGAGAGTCCCATGTGTGATACACATTTGAGGAATTCCATGGTTCCCTGTCACCCCTCTGTACAGACCAGGACAGTGCAGACTGGGGAAGCCACTGCTAGCTTGCAGTGGTCTTCCTGGAGCACAGGGTATTGGACTATCCATGTATTCCTTGTGCTGGGAAATGCAGCGCATCAGGAGCTGGTTGAGTTAGAGGTGGCTCTTCTCTGACCATTTTCACTCCTTTTGTGCTAATGGAATGATATGGAAGAACTTGAATAAACAGAGGATCTGCCCAGTTTAAAAGTGACTTTGTATGGTTTGTGGTTGCTCTGATAATAATTGATGAGTTCTATATGTGTATATCTTTTATATCTGTAATATCACATCATTCACAAATTGGATGAGAATGTTTCATATTTATTCATTTTTCAGTGTTCACTTCAGTCTGTTTGAATTTTTTAAAGGTCCTGGATGGCAGTGTCATTACAGCAAAACGAACAGCTGCAGTTTCTGCCATTGCTACCAAGGTGTGTCTTCTGTTCTCTAAGTGGGGCTTGGAGTTATAAAATACCTAGAACAAATTATGCAAATGGATTTTCATCCAATACAGCTTTAAATTAGATTTATCATAACATATGCACTTTCAGGGAAAACTTAAACTCACTGTTTTGAGTCAGTCATGTCTGGCTTTTACACTTTGTGTTTGGCTGGGGAAGGAACCTGAGCAATATTCCTGTGGCTTCTATTGAAGCCTCTTATAGAAATTTAGTAAGCTGTCTTTCACTGTATTTTCTTTCTTTTGTGCTTGTGTTAACATGCCCCTTTATGGCTTTGGGTGGTATAGCTGTGGTGATATATCGAATTTTATTTGGATAGATGCTTTCTGCTATTGGGACAGGACAGGTGGATTGCACTGGACCTGTAAAGAGAGGGGAGAGGCACATTTCCATTTCTCTTAAGATAAATGATGCCCAGTATAGATGGATAACTTGTTCAGAGGTGCTGTCTGTCAGTGTCTCTGTTGTCACTGAAAGGTGTCCAGATGACTGTCCCTGACCATGGCCATAAACTTCAGTTCTGAAGAAAGGTGAGGTGTATCTGGCTACGTGTTGCTTTATATATCTGCAATTTCAGTTGGAAATTGTTGTGTTGGATTTTTGGATTTCTTTTAAAAGCTATTTTTGGTTGGGCTGCTAACATCAGGAAGAGAGCAAGTGGCCTAGCATTGCACAGCAGGGTTTTAGTTTTCACCTCAAAGGCTGAGGCAATAAGAAAAGGGCCAGAGCTGAAAAACAGTGTTGTTTGTCACTCCTCAGCTTTGCATCAGAATGAAGGCTGATGTCACCGTTTTGTGAGGGGCAGTCTTCATGCCAGGGTGACTCTATCCATGGCAATGGAGCTACACCGGCATAAAATTGACTGAAGGACCTGTCCCCCAGAGCTTCTCCTGAACCAAAGGACAGGATGATTTACAGTGAACTCCTTGGACAGGAGCTTACAGGACCTCATTCATTTTGGCCATTCTGTATTTGGTCAGTTCTATGGTTTTTATGCAGTCCATGCTGGCTTCAAAGGAGCTTGGCTGCTGAAGGTATTTCAAGATTAGATCCTTCATTGTTATCTGTTCTTTTGGAAATTTTCAGGAGTGTTTGAGTTTAGCTCATATTTGTCATCTTGTCTTCTTTATGGCATTTGCTTTTCAAAGACCCATGCTCTTAATGCAAAGAACCTTTCACAACCTTTAAAAGGCACATTAAAACAAATTCTTACTACTGAAAAATGGGATCAATGAGATTTTTCTCCATTTGTTAGCAGCAGAATAAACCTTGAGAGCCTAGACAATTCTAAAGCTTTTTAGGCAGGAGTGAGTGGCCACAGCAAATGCATGAACAAGACACAAAGATAGGGCTGGACTCCAGCAGCTCTGTCTTCCTCTCTGCCAAGTACTGGTGAATCACAGACAAGAACTAAACCAGAAAGCCAAAAGCAGCTGTAGAACTGAATTGTGTTATTTGTTCCTCAGAACCATCCCTACTTTTACAATGTCTGTATTATGGCTCTTGCAATGCCAAGATATGCTTGTGGTGTGATTTATGGCTTCAGTGAATTCAAAGAGGTGGATTAGTGTGGGGCTGCCAGGACCAGTTTACCTGTGCAGCTGCCACTCTCAGTAGTGATGGTTTTTGGGATTCTGAGCCCTGTTTCCAGCCAGTGCAGAACACCAGCACTGTGGTTTTACACTTAATATTGGAGTGTGCTGAGGCCCCAGAACTTGTTGTTCATGCTGTTGCATCTTAAATCTGAATTTCAAGTCAGACAATTCAACACTGGAATTAAGCCAAGATGTGCTTTGGTGCTACTGATGCTTGCTTTTGCATTAAAAAAAAAAAAAAAAAAA